AGTTGCCTAAATTTTTTGTCATTTAGTTTACCAGAGTCTTGTTAATAAAAATCACCATATATTTATGACAAATAATTTTTTTCAAAATAAAAGGTATTAATTCATTGTTATACCCTAAGGATTGCTCTTGATACTGTATATATATAAAATTAGGCCTCACAGATTTTTTATTAAATGTACAATAGGTATAAAACCTATGTCAGATTTACGTCAGTTAGTTACCGCTCATATTAATATATTTTTTTTAAATAAGTGAAAGTGATTGTATATATAGAAAGCAATGTGTTATGAAAAAAAAAACATTGTCGTACATGTGATTGAAAATACAAATCTGTGTCAGAATGCGACTTAGTTACCGTGTAATTGCCTTACTACAGTAATACGAGAATTTAAAATCAGCAGAATATCACTGTAGCTCAGTCAGATCATCTAGAACATTGAACAAACAAAGGAAGATGATATAATAGTATCAATATTAACATTGTTGGGTGTTTTTTTTTTATATAAACCCATCCTAGATTAGTATCACTGGCGGCATGCATGAGCAAACCAACCACAGGGGCGGATTTAGGGGGCCCCCTTTTTGGGAGGTAAAAAAATGATAAAAAAAAAAAAAAGAGAGAAAGAAAAAAATGATAGCCCAGAATTCCTCAAATGTTATGCTCGAGCGTCTACAACACAAAAATTTCGTGGAGGCATGCCCCGGACCCAACACAGCCAAACAATAATGCAAAAGATACTTCTCCACAGAAAAAAACTGTATCATTGAAATGCATTGTGGGAATACAAACAATGGTGTGCCATGTATGGCTCTGGATCTAAAAAATTTCTGCCAAACTTACGTACGGTAATACATAACCTCCTGGGCTCAGGTAGAAATTGTTACCATTATACATAATATACTATACAAACAAGTAGGTAGGATCTACTTGGCAACAGAAGGATGCCCTGTATGTCTGGACCAGAGGTATAGATCTTATAATTGCAAGACAGCCTCTACGCTCACACTAGGGTTCAAATTTTTTTTCCCCCAAATTGAAAAGGTTTTAGCTAAATTTAAAACCAATATAATTTCACAAAAACGGTTCCGCAAATGAATTTCTTGCTTATTTATGTCTTATTCATTTGGAACCAGTCGTAAAGGTGGTAATATCAACATTAATGATTGAACAAACGAAAAAAACAAAAACGATCGTTTACAATATGTGGGGCCAACGCCTACCGGACATGCTCTAGGCCCAGAGTGCTACACCTAGGCCCCAATTGGAACCCTAATTAATTACGTGGGAGTATACTAGTTAGAGAGTACCTTACTTTTTGATGCATTACAAGCGACTGCTATTTCAAATACTGTACCGTGCAGTATAGTAGGCCATACCTGTTGTTTTGCTCTATAATTGATGCTTTTATTGTTTTGACATGAATTTTCAGTCTTGTGTACTTTTCTAGAAACAAGACATTTTCGTCGTCACGATGACCTTTGCTGAGGTTTGAAGACCACGCCTCCGAAACCCAGCCTGCCAATTGGTTAATTTTTTTTTGTGAGTGCGGTGGCGGTGTGCAAACACATGCTTCGATTAGGATGACGTCAGATCGCCCAAAGTTTCATAGGAACAGGAACAAGCTCAGTGCAAAACGATGAAGATTTAATTAAACAGAAGCAACACATGCTTCGATTAAGATGACGTCAGATCACCCAAAGTTTAATAGGAACAGGAACAAGCTCAGTGTAAGACGATGAAGATTTAATTAAACAGATTTCTTAAACAAATAAAGAAACTCTAATGGTTTTATTTTAGAGAGAAATATAAATAAATCAACAAAATTGATTTAATAAATTTATTTAATAATAAACAAATTTAAATTTCATTCTCTACAAATTTCCTCCGTAATTAAATTAAAATAGCTACATGACTGAGGTTTTTCTAAGACAGAAAAAAGTAGTTTGATCAAAAACTGAGCAATGGTGAATGAGATACAGATTTTTGAATATTTAAAAACTGGGGGAAAAAGGTGTAAAAATGGGTGGTTACGCCCCTTTTTCCCCCGGTTTTTAAATATTCAAAAATCTGTATCTCGTTCACCGTTCCCCAGTTTTTTGTCAAAGCCTAGCCTAGCCAATATATGGTCAAAACGGAAATTGAACAAAATGACAATACACTGAAACAGCAACTCTTTTTTTACCAGAATGACAATGGAGCAATACAGCAATAAGTCAATGCGGCAATAAATCAATAACAGCATCAAACCATAAAGGCAATAAACCAAAATAATGGCAACACTTCAAGAATTCTGATTCAAATATTTTGGTATTATCAGTTCAGTTTATTTCACATCATCAAAATATTGTACAAAACAAAAAAAATTCGCACAACAGCAGGATATAAACAATAACAATAAAAATAATGCAAGGATGGCCTATGAAGTTTTCTTTAAAAAGTAAACTAATACCCGATTCACATGTACAAAAATCTTACCAAATGTAACCAAAAGTAACATTTTACGGTACGTGTGAAAGTACCTCCGTGTAATATCCTTGTAAAATCTCAGAACGTCTCGGTAATCTTTACCAGCATCAGTGAGGCTGGTAAAGCTTCCAAGATGTAGGATGGATGGATCTGTGCGTGCGCAGGAATTCCAAAACAACAACAATCTAAATGTACTGTGTTTCGGGAGAACTTGAACAAAGGCCTACCGTACTTACTACTACTACCACTAGGCTAGGCTAGGCATAGGTAGGGGCCTAGATATCATTATAGCCTAGGCCTATAGGGAGCTTTCGATTTGTGCGACGACGCGACACTAGGATGGAATCACTCATGCGTGACCGTCCTACCTGACGACCTACGTACGTTCTCTGCATACGTAGCTAGATTTGGCCAAATTGCGTTCCAGAATCTACTTGACGAGATGACCTTGGGATATGACCGGTTGAGCTGCCGACAAGTTGAGTCGCCGGTAATTTCTATGGAATGCCAAGCGCGTCTCTCAGTGAATGTAGTCGGCTTGCCGATGTCATCAGTGAATGAACACCCCGGATACCAGCTACATATTCATCCCAGTCTTGTCAGTCGTTGATTTGCTCGTATTGCCGTTCGTGATGTATAATTGTGTAATTAAAAGTTAGAATTTTGATTATTTTATGTACTACATTTTTATAAAAATAAATGAAGTTGTATAATTGGAAAATTGTATTAAAAATGTAATTTTATGTACTACATTTTTTTATGTACTACATTTTTATAAAAATAAGTGATAATGTTGTTATAGAGTATTTACTATGGTTTTGTAATTTATATATTTATATTTTTGTACTATTTGTTAAACTTATATATAATAATAAATGATAAGAATGTATGGAGTTTTTTTTTTACTATCTGGCAAGCTGACTGAGCAAATACTCACAAAATTTAAATTAAAACGATAGAAAGAACAAATACGTCCCAAAAATATTTAATAAATCAGTGCAAAAACCGAGTATTAAATAAATTGAAATAATTGAGTAAATAAACTGAAATACATCCCAAACAACAGTACCAAGAACAAATAAGTTAATTGAAATATGCCGCAATTAACGCACTACATTCACTGAGAGACGCGCTTGGCGTTCCATAGAAATGACCGGCGGCTCAACTTGTTGGCGGCTCAACCGGTCATAATCCATGACCTTAACGTTCTTGCATGCGCAGACGACTTTTAGTGATGTCATTACGTTCTACGACGTCCTGCCGTCGTCGAGCAATCGAAAGCTCCCTAAGAGGGCCTAGCTAGGCCTTGCTCCCCTACTACACTACAACAATCGACAAGTAGGCCTAGGCCTAGTAGGCTTACAATTACCTAGGCCTAGCCTAGAGAAACAAATACATGATTGCTCAAAACTTTTACCCTGACAATCTACGCTGTTCTCTTTCTTTGTAACTTAACATAATTACAGTTCAATATCACACGCAACCGCCTCGAGGGGCAGGAGGATACCACACCTTTAAATTTCTTATTCGGCCGCTCGCCTATCCACTCGACTGTCTAACAAAGAGGATAACAGCAAAGATCGTATCTTTGATAACAGAAGAGAGTCCACTCGGACTGAAAAAGCGTTCCGCTCGACGACAGAACGCCCTCTACAAACTGTTGTGGATAAACGGCTTGAGTGGATTTCGCCGGCCGCGATTTTTTTTCCCGTACGAAATATTTACATGAAACTCCACTCTATGGAACGCCGTTACTGCCTTTAGTGGCTCTTTTCCGTTCGGCGCATTTGCTATTCGGCCCTTTTAACATTACGTTCGGTGCTTTTACATTACGTTCGGTGCTTTTTACATTACGTTCGGTGCGTTTACATTACGTTCGGTGCTTTTTACATTACGTTCGGTGCTTTTAACATTACGTTCGGTGCTTTTACATAACGTTCGGTGCTTTGAACATTACGTTCGGTGCTTTTAACATTGTATATTTGCCTTTA